GGCCGTGGAGAAACATGGCTAGTAGTTGCCTGACAGCAGGAGGTGCGGGCTTGAACGAACCCTGACCATCCCTGGCCCGTGTGCATTCGACTGTAACTGGCGAAGGGCACACTACACATCCCGGGCTATCACGGCTTCCTGCCGCTGAACACCAGGAGCAAAGAGAGACCAAAGCGTGCAATGCAGTTCTGCTTAGACTTAGCCCATGAAGCTGCTGCTTACCGTATTTTGTTTTCTTTACAGACCCTGCAAATGCGGAAAGCGTTGTGTAGTGATTGGAGCGTGCCATTGTGACCTCAAGTGCTGCAGTGGAGATCCAAAACCCAGCTGCTCTTTGCATGCAAATCGGCACTTAAGCTCCCTGCAGGAATCCCTATGTTGCAAGAGTAGAGAGTGGAGCGACTGTCCGCACCAACGATAAGTCGCACATCACGGATCAGTGGGGGCCTGAGCTCTGCATTCCTGCAAGCCCGAATTGCTGTCAGGTCCAACAGGACTTGAAGTGTGGTGACTGCTAGTGCACCAGTTGAAGCTGCTTTGCACTTGTGCCGAGACTGCTCGTAGCCCCCCTTCCAGGTTTCATGTCAACACCCTGCACTACGCGGGGCACAAGCCGCTCAGCGTTACCAACGACTTTGGTCGAGTTGACCCAGGAGAGTGTGGGGGCGAGACGAAGGCGTACTGTTGGGAGAAAACAGTCCCTTTCTATGTCCCTTTCCATTTGCCTTTGCATGTGCCTGTGCATGCCTGAGAGTACATGGGCATTGCCACCAGACCCCGGTACTCTATCGCATCATTGTTCCTCTCGATACACACAGTTGGACCTCCCTGCATGCACAGCGATGCATTTTGAAACCTATGTTGCGGGACAGAGTCGCACATGTAGCTGCACCAGCCCAGACACTTTGTAGCCACCGGACCAAAGTGACTGAACGTATTGAAAGTGCCACAGAGAATCCATAGAGCTTTGCGTTTGCAGTTTCGTGGGATACTCATGCTTGGATTTGGATATCACTCGATGTGTTTGGCGGACGCATAAAAACAATGATTTCATGTCGGGGTGTGACTCCCGATACGAAGCCTAGCCCCTGTGCGCGCTGCCCAGTCCCGGTCTTACGCAGGAAACCGCTCCATGATGAGCCGCAGCTTCAAGGCCAAGCGAATGTCTTCGTGCACTCGCCAGAAAGTGATCCGAAGCAGCGCCTTCGCGAAATCGGTATTGATGCATTTCTATTCGTGAAAGAGCAGACCAGTGGCTTGTGTAAAGGCCGTTTGTAGACAAACATCATTTTCACTACAGATCGTGTAGTGATATTTTCAAGCTTCCCAGAGTGTTGCTTGATTCTCGGGGTTGGGTATTTGGTTGGGTATTTGATTCTCCGGGTTGGGTATCCACCCAACGCACAAGCTTGTGTCGCCAGGTTCCAAATCTTTCTGCCTTCCCATGATGGGCCTTGAGCTGAGATGCAGATGCATTCAGGCGAAGTCCTCCAGTGTACCTGCAAATTAGATACTAACTAGGGCTCAATTCTGCTCAACGTTCATATCCCAGCAACTCACAGTGCAAGAGTGCAATTTGCTTCAGGTATGGTTGCAGCTCTCCTGCCTTGTACGTTTTGGCGCTTGAACGCCGCGTTTTAGGAGGGTGTGCCAGCAACGTTTCACAGTAGTTGCACGGAGCATCCAGTCTCCCCCTCCGAAGTTGAGAGGGGCTGATGCAATAGGACGGAACTGTGTAACCAAATATCACTTGCAATCTGGTGTAGCTTGACCGCTGGTGAATTGGACCGATGCATCATTTGCAGCTTGCATTAGCTTCTATCCTGATCAGTTTGTTTGAAGATCTTGCATGTGTGCGTGGACTATGCACCTGCCATCGCCGACATCCACCATGAGCAGGTTGTTCTTCACCTGGGCACGAGATGTGGGACAGCCGCCAGCCTGCTTCGGGCATTTGGCTCCAGTGTGCCTGTCCCTTCCATCGGGCTGCGGCCGGCGGCCCGTAGTGTGCAGAGCTCAGAGGTTCCTGAGGTCCTGGTTGCTGATGCAGCAATTCAGCAAAACAAAGGCAATTGCACCATTCCAACTTTTGGCGGGACTTGAGTCAGAGAGCTTGAAGGGAGTTGAGGCATGTCACATCATGGCGCTTTCTTAGCTTGCGAGTAGCATGATCATGTTGAGTATTCTGCGCCCAGGCCAAAGCCATGTCGTACGTTCCCAAACGGGCCGTGCAGCATTGCATGTACACACCGCTGCAGGCCTGGGTGGACGGCCGGACATGTGACTGTTGAAGAAGTCCTCAAGTTCTTTGCCATTTTCTCCGCACAAACCTAAGATGGACAGGGAACCTCCCTTAGACACCAATGACGGGAGACGCAAACAGGAAGGATCGTTCAATTTGGACACAACATCGCTTGCCTGAATCATTATTTCTTGAGTACTGGCATGAGACAGACCCCTATGCACAGAGGCAATACATATTCTGCAAATACCAGATCATATCCATTGTCATGTAGCTTCTCCACAACTTGGACAGGAGCAAACAGAGCAGGCTTCCAGATGTTTTCAGAGGGTCAGAAGCATGGAGATGGGGAGAAAACATAATATGAAAGAGCTTGTTGGCTTTCCCTGCTTGGTCCACTTTTCCATTTTGCAGAAGAAGCCTACATTGGCAATTTCTAGAAGCATCTCTCTTTGACGATGAGGTGAAATCGGAGGAAGCTGATGTGGACATGGAGCCGATGGCAACAGAACTAGGGAAACCTGGGTCAGGGACGGCTGCCACGAGCGCTGAATCTTCGGGGGACTAGCGCGGCGACTCAGCCTCCTGCTCGACAAGCAGCTGATGCCTTTCAGGATCCCAAGCATAAACCTGGGGTTAGGACGGCTGCCTCGAGCGCTGTGTCCTCCGCAGGGGACTCCTGAGCCTTCCCAGGCAACGATGACACGGAATCAGAGAAGACTTTCTTCAGCATGGATGAGTGGCACTATGTGGACACGGGGCCCCACCACACGGCGGCCTTGGTGGCGTGGATCCAGCGGAAGGTGATTCACAAGGCTGTCCCCCAAGAGGTTTTCAAAGAACTGGAGGACAAGCTTGACCCAGATGGTGGTGCAGAGATGGGGATCATCGACCTGTCTCGCGAGCCATGCCTGGTGGCCTGCGGTGGTCCGCTGGTATGGCCTTGACGAAGAGGGGTGGGACGGGTGGGACGGGTGGGAAGGGTGGGACGGGTGGGAAGGGTGGGAAGCGTGGACGGGTGTGAAGGGCGGGATGGGAAGGGATGGGAACCGATGGGAAGGGTTGGGTGGGTGCGTGCTGAGTGGGAGGGAGGTTGGGCAACCAGCGCAGCTGGTGAGGGCGAAGCTCTAGGACAACAATACTCTAGATGATCATAGAATCATAGACAATAAAGACAAAGGCGGCGGAGGTGGACAGATGTAGCGCAGGGGCGTGGCCCTATTTCTGTGCACAGCACCTGTAGGAGCTGCCTTTTCGTGATGTAAAAACACTGTTCTAGAACCAAGGCAATATCACTGTAAGCCGATAAGAAGGAACACCAGCAATTTCACACATTCAGACTGCATGAACAACACATCACTTGGCTCTGGTGACAAGAGGTAGGTAGGCCCGGGTAAGCGTTTGATCGGAAACACTTTTTCGCAAACACACGCTTTATCCAAGCTATGGCAAAACAACAGACAACTAATCGACAACCAACCGAGAAGCGCGAAAACGGCAAACTGTGCGACTACAAAAGTCTTGCCAGCAAGCATTTGGCGCATGTAACGGAGATGAATCTTACAAGACCAGGGCTACACTGCTGGAAGGCTGCACGACTACGGGAAGAGTAAGACCGCGGGAAAACCACAGGAAGACTATGGGAAACTACGAGAAGACGGGAACATACGGGAACATGAGAAGTCCAACGCTTGAAGATGGCTAGCTGAGGCAACCCTGGGAAACAAGCTTGGTTCGGCACTTGCAGCTACTTCACAGCCTATGAGATTTGGATTGAGATGGGGATGACATTGCATGGCTGGTGGATGCGGTGGGACACGACGGTATAGGTTCAGTTGGGATGGTGCGTTGGGGTTGGGACAGAATAGGGTAAGCTAGGATGGATGGATGGCTCTTGGAATAAGCATTTCAGCCTGTGATGGTATGACTATCACAGTTATAAAGATGAATTGTAATCCAGCGAGCGAGGCCAGAGACACACTTAGACCCACACAGACACTGATTCTTTGTGAATATGTCCAGTGTGTAAAGAACAGCATTCTTTTTTTATCCTGTTGCAAGAGCTACAGGAACTCAGAGTCACACTTTTCCTCGAACATTTGACAGGAGCTAATAGCTCCTTGCCTGAAGCCTGGGCAGAAGGAGCTGCTGCGCCCTCAGTCAGATGTGTTCAGTCATTTTGCAAGCTTGTGGTTGAGACCGCAATGAGAGGCGCTTGGATTCTGTGCAATAGTGTGTCTTGAACCGTGTCTTGCTTGCGCACCTCTTGTGGCTGGGCCTCTTGGCATCTGGCCGGATGTTCGTGATGCTGAACATTTGATAGCGTTAGAATCTGGTAGTCTGCGGTTTCCCTGCAACGCAATGCTTAACATTTAGTCCTATCATGATTCAAACTGCAGTGGTTGGCAAAAAATCTTTTGATGTTCATGAGAAGCAGCTCCTTTAAAAGAAAAGGGACGTGCTGGTCTCAAGGTCCTTGTCAAGTGCATGCACAGATTGAGCGCAAGACAATCATCAAGGTGTTCATGGGCCAAAAGACATGAACACTGACTCGATGTCAGCTGCACGATCGTGACGCAGTTGAAACACTGGTGGTAGTGGTTGGGGCCGAGAACAAAGCCAGAGCCACAGCAACTAGAACGCCAGAGCCAGAACAACTAGAATGCTTTTCAAGCTCTCACCCTTCATTTCAACCTCTTACCCTTCATGTTGGGACTGAGGGCAACGAATCAGTCCCCCCCCCCCCCATGAGACTGTTTTGGACGTTTGATTGCTGCTTGCCTCGTCGGCTGTGTGCTTTCTTTGTGCTTCTCCGTACTTCTCTTCTTCATTTGACTCTTTTCACTTGACCTGCTTTCTTTGATGTTAAGGCTACAAGAGCGGTGCAGCTGGCCTCGGCTTCGCCCGACTGAGGGACCCCTGCGGGCTGTACGTCTCCGAGGCCAAGCAGAAAGACACATCGCGGCTACAGCCAAAGCTGCTGGAGGAGCAGTTTGAACACTTTGAAAAGTGAATCTCAGCAGGTTCGTCGAAGAAAGAGGATTGCCGGTCCAATGCAGGACAGCCGTAGTGACTCGGAGTATGTGAAGCAGGTGTGCAGATCAACTTGCCCGGAGGACTGCAAGTAATGCAGGTCAGCTTGGATCATGTGGGAAGGCAGAGAGTGTTATGAGTCATGAACATGTTACGGAGACTAGAGTATCATGAATGTCTGATTAGCCTGGTATGACCTAGTTCTCTCAGGCCCTCATGAGGGACCTGAGGCGTTTTCAAGCATGGCGACAGGCAGGAGCTTGCTGTGGCAGTCAGCTTCCCGAAAGGACTTCAGAACGCCGCGGGGTGCTGTGAGGAGTGTGGTCTGGGCTCAGAACAAGAGCCAGAAAATCTCGGGTTGTGCTTGAGCAAATCGCAGAGCTCGTCATGACCCCCACGGTGAATGCGGAGTGATGCAAGGAAGGTCTTGATTAGCATTGCCGTGCTGAGATATCCAGCCATTTGTTTCAGCCAATTCCTACGTGCAAGGCCAGGTCACAGTCAAGAGAGGCTTCGAGATCATTCATGATATTTGTCATTTCGGCACTCTTTGCTTTGGTTTGAACTTTGGAGATAAACAAAGGGAATGCGCGTTGAGCAGGGTGAAGTTCGCAGCAGGACCTCTTCCGATGGCCGGGAAGACACACGAGAAGTTGGCGTTTGCCTAAGTCGCTGGTCAAACAGCACTAACTTCAATTGTTTGAAACCACGACAGATTGGGCAGGGTAATCCGTTGGCAGCTTTAGCTTTTAGCCAGTATTTACTTTGGGAGAAACCTGACTAGAATCCTTCATTGAAGGCCTCGTGCACATGGGTCAAGTCTGCATGAGAGATGTTTGTCTTGGATGGCTCCAAGGCAGAGGGATCACCTGGAGACATGAATGATCCCGAATTTGAGCAATTTACACTGTTTCACGTGTATTTCAAGAGACATATATAGGCAATGTTGCCGCACTGCATTTGCCGCACCATGTGCATTGCAACTTGAAGCTTGCGCGAGGCAGCATTGCCGAGTTGCATCATTTTGCGGGCGTGTCCTTGCCTCTTTTTCCTTATCTCTCTCATCCACACTTTCCGTGGGCGCGGTCGGGTGAGGGGATAGGAGCGGCTGCAAGTGTAAAAATGGTTGGACATTGTGTTTGTATGTTGCAAGACCCAACCTAACTTGAGAACACTTGAGTCCTGCTGACATTTGTCTCGGACCCTTTACTTTTGTCTTTATAGAAAGTATGTGCGATGGATGAACTTGTGCACGCACAGCAGGTTGACATCCACTACTCAGGCGCTGCCCATTGGCGTTCTGAGTATGGCCACAGCTGTGCTGATGCGTCCAGTGAGTGCCTCAGACACGTCCAGACCGTTGTTTTTACAGTCTTCGGCTTTGCAAGGCTTAGTGACTGGTTTGTGTCAAATCAGCTCAGGTGATATCCCCAACAGCATGCGGTGCTCTTTTTGTGCTCGCACCCCCCCGCAGCCCTTGCACCCGAAGTATTGGCAATAGCTTCGGAACTTTAGTAGGTGTTCTTTTCATTTTGTGCTTTTCTTTTGGGGGTCAGACGGGCGTGTGTAAGCAAACCAGAACAGGAGGGATCATTTGCGAAACCCGTGCGTGCCTTCAAGAAGGAAGGGGCAGTCGGCTGGACAAAGGGGACCATTTCAATTTTTGGGATTTGGAGTCAGATGAAATTGGGTTACGCTCATTGCAGGCATGAGTTGCTTTGCTAATTTCGCATGGCAAGACAAGGAGAGCATGTGATCAACGTCTTGATTGGTCAATGTTTCCCACGGTACTTTGCTGATGACCAGATAAGATTGCTGAATTGCATCCTTTTCTTTGTCTTTCTTTGTCCGCAGTTTTACTCGCACACATTTGCTAAGGTTCAGTTCTTTGGAGATGCATCCCAGCTGTCAGTTGCTTTGTTTTGGGTCCACAGAGTTGAAACTTGCTAGATTGAGATGCCGCAAGGAAGACCTACCCCTCAGATGACAGCGCAGCAGATCCTGGCAAGTCGTGCGCTCAGTCGAGATCTCCTGCTATGAGACAGGGTGATGATTGTTCAATATCCTTCACCAACTAAGCCTTGAAGATTTGATCAGATTGCAATGATCAAAATGTGGCAAGGCGAGAGGTATCTTCACTGAGAGAAAGAGAACCAACGGGGCACGTCGAGACGGCAGCGTTCAAGCCGCCACCAGGCCGCATGCTGCCGACACCACGCAGCTGCATAAGCAAAGTGCAAGACTTCACATGCACCTCGGCAAGTTGCCTGCAGTCCTTGTGTCTTTGTGTTGTAGGCTCCAGGTTTCGTTTCGAACCCAATGCAATGCTCCTTAACTATTTTGAACCGACTGCCTGAATTTCGCAGTTTGTTGAGCTTATTGTCGGCATGGGCAGTCCTTGGCTGTTTCATGATAGGCTGGCAGGCTGAGTTAGGCCTTGTCCTGAGGAACCTGCTTTAGGGCTTGCAGCGGGGACACGAGACATGGGCATTGCACTAGTTGGCCTTCACAAGGCACGCCCTCTGTCTCGGGCGTGAGCCCTTTGGCCACCAGGCATTGACACGGCCGATTCATTCCAGGAGTTGGTTTTTCCATTCCGCATGTACACGGCCCGAAATTCGCGAGAGCAAGGCTGGTCATCGAGTCACCTCAGTCTTCGCAAGTCATCAGCTGTCAGCAGTTAATCCCACACAAAGCCTCCACTACAAGCGAGAGCGCATGCTTTTCCTTGTGCTGGCATGATTTGCCGTCTTGCTGCCTTCTGCCTGTTTCCGTATGTGCGCTGCCAGCACCTGCGGACTCCCAAGTCATGCGGCAGTGCACAAGCGGACGTGCCATGCTTTCTGGACGAGGATGCGGAGTTTTGGTCGGCACAGGTCCACAAAATTCTGGATTTCACCCAGAGCGCATGGGAACATCGACATATGCCATTCGTACCCAGCTGGCTGTGGCTATTTGCGTTTCTAGCCTTCGGAATTTGTGTGCTGTGCGTTATTTGCCGAGCCTCCATGGCCCGCCTGACTGTGGACTACGCTCCGCTCTCCCAAGTCGAAGAGCAGCTGGGACTGACCGCTGACCGGAAGGCCCAGGTGCGCATCGCTGTGTCTGCGGCTCTCATGTTGGTTGACCTGGTGTTGGACAACCTCAACGGGGTGATGTACTGCATACAGGGGCTTTACGTTTTTGGCTCTCTCACCTTGAGCATACCCGCAGCATCTGGCTTTGCATGCTTTTTGTACAAGCGCTGGAGTTGGGAACTGGCACCTTTGGAGCAAACCTCCTCTGGGCGACGGACCTACCACTTCCACCGCGGCTTGGATTCTGAAGGAAGGCCAAAGCCAGGCTGGAGAGAGGCCTGTCTGCAGATGCTGCAAGTGGAACCTTTGACGACCGCCTGGCAGGCATACCAAAATCCAGGTGCTCACAGCACAGCGTGGACTGTGGAGAGGGCTTTCAGCGGAATCGTTGAAGGCTTCCCCTCAGCGCTGCTGCAAGGCTATACCTTGCTGTGCCTTGAGCAGTCTTCACGGCCCAAAGCTTTTGCGCTTGTCATCAATGTGGCATCCATTCTCACATCAATGCTCAGCATGTCTGAGGCCAGGGTTTGGGGGCTGCATCGGTGATGCTGTGTTGGTGTTGTCAGCTGATTGAAGGGCATGTCAATCATGCCCGTTGAATTTACTGTGACCATTCAGGTGGGTGGACCCCTAGTTGCACCTTGGTCATGAGTTTGCCCTGAGGCTTTGAACATCATCTCTTTGCGGCTTTTGCCCAAGTCGCCGGTGAAACCGCTGGAGACCTTCAGTGAGGGCAAGCTTCGAATGTGGCAAAGCTTTGGCATTGCTGCTCGAGTGTGGGTGCTGGCAGCCTTGGGGGCTGCGCATCGCCCCTTTGGTGCGAAGATGACAGAGAACAGCCAGTGGACGATTTGCTCTGTACTGGCCATCGAAGCGACTTTGGTTGCTACTATTACGAAGGTTTCCTCTCGGGTGGGATGGAGACAGCTCTTCAGTCACAGGATGCTGCTGGTGTTTGTGGTCAACTTTCTTTCGCTTCTTATGCCAGTGTGCCCAGTTGAAACCTTCACATTTACAGATGTAGTTCGGCTGCAGGTTCAAACGATTGTGTGGCGAACAGTGGAGTTTTGGATAGCAGCATTTGCAGTCTGGTATCGAGTGCATAAGTATCCTGGAGAGACCCACACCCTTTTAACAACTTTCACCTTATCAGCTGCGCTTTCATTCGCTGTATTCTCTGCGGTTGTGCTCGCTGATATCATGCAGCGGCTCCTTCGCGGTTTTCCGCTCCTACCTGCGCGAGCAGATGAGTGTTCGCCGGCACACTGGGCTGTAGCTTTCGGCAATGAAGCCTTGCTTCGCAGCTTGCCTGCAGAGGAGCTGTGCAGCCTTTGCACTGACAAGCAAGCGCCAGCGCACTGGGCAGCTGAGAATGGAGACGTTGCATCACTCAGGATCCTGCACCAGCTCGTGCCAGCGACACTCAGAGCAGTGGATCAGACTGGGCGGGTGCCAGCACATTTCGCCGCTGAGAATGGGCATGATGAGGCCTTGCATACCTTACAGCTGACCTCAGACCTCACCGCAGTTGACCAAGGCGGCCTGGCGCCGGCACACCTGGCAGCCGCAAAAGGCCATGGCAACGTGCTGCAGGCTTTGCATGAGTTCAAGGCAGAAAGCCTTGCTGCAGCGGACAAGGATGGCTGTTTGCCAACGCATTGGGCAGCTTGGGCAGGGCAGACTGATGCTCTGCAGCTGCTTCATCGTTTGGCGCCCCAAACCCTTGTTGCGACCAGCAAGATGGGCTTGGTGCCAGCGCATTCGGCCGCGTGGGCAGGTCGGGAGGCAGCATTAAGGGCTTTGCACCGCTTGGTTCCGGAAAGCCTTGCTGCGGAGACCAAGAAAGGCTTGACACCAGCACATTCAGCAGCTTGGAATGGCCATGCTTCAGCGTTGAGGACTCTTCAACAGCTTGCTCCAGAGACACTCAGTGCCGTGGACAAGACAGGCCGGGTGCCGGCACACCCCGCTGCCCAGAATGGCCATGTCGAAGCTCTGCAGCTTTTGCACTGCTTTGCTCCGGATTCCCTACGGGCCCTGGACAAGAGCAGCCGCCCACCAGCACACCTTGCAGCTCAAAACGGGCATGCGGAAACTCTGCGCCTTTTGTACCGCTTGGCTCCGGAGACTTTGAGTGCGGTAGACAAGTCCGGCCGCACTGTGGGCCACATGGCAGCTGCCAATGGTCATGGAAAAGCCTTGCAGGTGCTCTACCAGTTGGTGCCAAGCACCCTCTCCGCAGTGGACCACACTGGCATGACACCACTCCGCCTGGCAGACTTGCAGCACCACGAGCAAGCTGTGACAATTCTGCACCAGCTAGTCCCTCAGACTTTGCTGGAACTGGGGCCTGCTGCGATGGCCACGTGCAAAATTGAATGTGTATTCTGTTGGAATCCGGGTATTGGTTTGAACAATTTTGCAACTTTTGATACGGCTAGAAGAGTCAGGATGGACATCAATCCAACATACTGTAACATACTCGCTTTACCCTGATGATACCCGAACAATTTGTAACAAAATAATATTTTCCTGAACGCAACCAACATGAAGCCAGCTTTTTGTGCGGGGCTATTATGCGGCGCTTTGCACCAGTCCCACCTCCTCATAGTTGAAATATTTCCAGTGGGTTTATTGTTAGGGGGAAGGGATTTCTTAAGGAACCACTGTTTGGGAGGAACCAGCACGATGGATAAATGGGAATCTATTTTTGAGCTGCAAGCATTTTTAGACTTTCACACTTCGAGCATAGAAGGCTGGAACATATCCCTCTCACAAAGCTTGTGACAGCCAGCCTTTGTCCCCAGAATCCTTTTCCCGAGTCCACGGAACCTTTCAAGACTTCTGAAGCGACCCTCTCCCAAGCCAAGGCAATGACGTCGATTACGGCAGGCACGGCTCCAATCCAAGAGAGAAGATCTCACCTTGGGACCGGGAGCTGCCTGTGTCGGGCCCTTTGCAGTGGCCGTGTCAAGTGTCAGGGATGATTGGCTTTTCAAGTGTATTGCATGCACAGAATCGTGCGAGCAGAACAAACTTTTGAGACTTGTTGACACTTGTTGTTTAGCAGCTGGAGAAAGTGAAACCAAGTCACGATGGAGCTGAGAGTGGTGTTGCTGACGAATGCTTGAAACACCAGCACCTCGGGATGTGCAGCAGTCCTGCATTTTCTGCCTGAAAGGTGAACATGCAAACAAAGCTTCGCTCGATATATTGCCAGCATGTCCAAGCATGAAGGAACTTATATTCAATCCTACCCTAAATTAATACGTGGGCAGGGGTCAACATGTACCATCAAATGTAACAATGTGCCGTGGTAAGGAGGATCAAGATACCATCAGGAATCAGGGGGGTTACTCACCAACATTTGAAATCCCATATTAGTTGAGGTCACAATGAATATTGACCATACCTCAAGGCGTGCTTTCGAAGATAAGGATGGGGGAGCGGCCAAGGCTCAAGAGCGAACTGACCGCAGGCAGCACTAAAGGCCGCTGGATGGATGGGGTGGAATTCACGTGGATTGCTTTTGTCGAACCCAACATCAGGGCTGGCCAAGAGGCCATGAGAAGCCAGCCATGTGTCAGCAAGAGTACCACTGGCTGCTTTTTCTCAGCCGGTCGACGGAGGTCATCGCTTTAAAGGAAGTCCCCAGACATGCAGTCCAAAAAGCATCGTGCTGTGTCTTTTTCCGCTGGGCTTCAGCACCAGCTCGCACAAAGAACTTGCATAGATAATTTTGCATAAATAAGACTGCATAGTGATGATGCAGAGTGAACCTTGCGTCGACAACCTTTGAGAGCTTGCGTAGAGGACCTGCTTGGAGAAGTCGAATAGCTTAACATGCAAGGATAAACTGTTATGAGAAAGTGCATAGAGGTTTGACAGAAAACCACTGGGCACGCAGAGACTGGCATAGATACTTTTCACAGATACTTTTGGCACCGGAAACTTGCAACGACGCAACGATCATCAAACCAACTGAACGGAGAACACGCGGAAATAATTTGCAAAGCTCATGTGCATCGAGAGATTGTCGCAGAGGACTGGCATAGAGATTTTGCATCGAGGGCTTGCGCACAGAAGCTTGCTTTCAGGCTCGGGATTGCAACCATCTGCAGGGAAAGCTCTAGCGCTTCGCAGGTTTTCGGCATGCCCGTGCAACCTTTTGCGATGTGTTGCGTGGGCTCGGTGGGTGATTTGTGAACGTATTGCCTTGTGATGCGGCTGCGTACGGACGCGTGAGCGTACATATAAAAGTTTTTTTTTCAGTTTGGAAGTCGGCCCGACAGTTTCTTGGCTTGCAGTTTGGCAAACAGGCAACTTGAAAGAAAAGTAATGCTCGAAGTGAAGTTTCTCGGCTCCAGCTCAAAAATGCAACGCTAAGCACGGGAGTAGTGCACAACCGCAGCTTGAACATTGCAATTGCTTTAGTTTGAAAGTAATACTCGAAGTGAAAGATCGCAAGTGCTGTTTTTACAAGCATGAGTGTTGATTGCGACAGAAGTGCGCGAAGTACACGCTCGCAGCTCCGGGTCAAAAGTTGCAACTGTTAATTGCGGAAGCAGTATGCAAAGTACGCTTTTGCAGCTCAGGCCCGAACATCACTAGATTCGGTTGCTAACGTAGTTCGCAAAGCTTGTGGCTCTGGCTTGATAGCGGCAACTTCAAGAGTGAAGTAGTACGCAAAGCGGGCACGGGACAGCTTGCACAAATTACAGGGAGTTGCATAGATCGCCGCTAAGAGAGCAACTCGCACAAGCTGAATAACGGGACACACCTTAAACAGGACCGCGTGTGGCTCAACATAAACGCGCTAAACAATTCCCACAAAAGTGCGAACTGAACTTATATAAAGCAGTTTGCACGTAGGAGTAGACGCACGAGTCATACAGCAAATGCTGTCGCATTTTGGTTTGCGAGCCATCCGCCTCTACTTGTTAGCAAGCTCCTCCACATAATTGCGAGCTGTTTGTATTTCAAGGCACTCACCTGTCGGTCTCGTCAATCTTACGCGGCCTCGGCCCGTGCCGCAGGCACTCATCACATCCCTGGCTACCAGGGCGTGGTGCCAGTTCATGGCTTCAGCCAGGAGCCCAGGGGTGCAGCGAAAATTCAGATCGCGGGCCTCACACCAACGCTGAACAAAAGCAGGGCAAGTGTTTGCACCAAGGATTGTTTGGCAGAAAGCAGTGCTGATAATCAAGCTATATACCACCCCGCCAGAAGCCTATTAGGGCAAATTCCTGAACCGCTTGCAGGTCCATTTGCGTAGAGATCATGGTGATCCCCAAAGCGGTCCGTCGTTCAAAAACCTGTCCCACTTGAAAGCAACCATTCGATCAGCAGAACCCAAGTGGCACATGGTAGTGTTTGGGGCTTCAAGACCTGCTGATTGCAGATGTTCACAGCACTTCCAAGGCTAAAGAATATCCACTCGTGGTCTTAGTGTCACCTAGTGTCACACTGACAACCACCATGTGCATCAGCTTGAATCAGCCCCTGAGATGATTGTCAGCGAGAATCGCTTGACACATTGCTCGTAAACCCAACAAATCCGGCCCACGTCTGTCACCCAGTTCGGAGTTCTAATTTTTCCAGCCCTTGGGATCCAAAGGGAGCAGAAGCGAGGGACTTGGCCTGAAAGTGAGGCGAGAAGAACAAGATCGAGCCCCGGTGCGACGGCCCAGTCGTGCTTGAGGGCTTTGACCTCTGCCGGAGTGAATCTACTGGAAGACACTATGGAAGATGACCGAGTGTTGTATGCTGGCATTCCCAAAGCTTTGAGGTTATTCCAATTGATCAGTTTTGGCTACACCCCGAATAAATACGTTAAAACCACGCAGCCTTGTTTGACTCTAAGCATTTCGCCATCAATGCGCCGCAGCTGTTCCATTCGAGAGCTTTGCAGCCTGTTGATTCCGTTGTGACTGCTTCGTGCTGTACATGAACTGTTTGATGCTCCTTCAACCAGGTCTGTGGATAAGACCAACATTGTGCAGATTTTCCACAAGGCCAACTCATGAGCATTGCTTTGACACTTCATTGCTTGAGGCAATGCTATGAGGTTCTCCTCATGCTCAAATGATACCTGTTTCGCGCTTAAACTGATCTCGTGACAGGAAGTGGTGGGCTACGGAGGACACGTGCCGGGAGCTGTCCGTTCCTCAATCAAGAGTCATCCATAGCATGCATCAAACATTCGTTTTTTGCCAGGATTGGGCAGAGTGATTATTTGGCCAGTACTTTCACAGGCTTTGAGTCAGAGGCAAGCAAATTGCTGCAGGTCTGCAATGACTTTGGCGCGCGGCAGCCGCAAGTGCCCCAGCATCCCGTGGTGTAGCTTACTTCTTGCCGTGGAACTCAGTAGATGTCAGAAGTTCTGCGCCGTTTCCAAACAGCACCTCGTTGCTGATTTGCAAAGCGCATGACTGGAGACAATGCATTTTTCTGGCACTGTGTATTCTCAACGACATCAGTAGAACAGCCACCCTAGTTGGAATATGTGAGCCTTATGGGTCTTCCGTGATGTTGCCAAATCTTGAGGCCAAAGTAGAATTGCACGTGTCTACTTGCATGGTCCCTTCTCAGCCATGCTCAGGACAGATCTCACCACCTTCGGGCACGACTTCAAACCACATAAAACAGGTGGACGTCTTAGCCAGCATTGCGAGGGATTCGCACCCTTCAACATCTCCGCCAATGGATTGATTGTACTTGGCGATCGGTGCAAGTAATCTTTCACTTTTCAATGTCTATCAGCTTTTTCCCACTCCTTGAAACAACAGTGGGCAGAATGGGTTGGTTTTGCTGCTCCTCCCGAAGCTAGACTCTGGCTGCTGCTGATGGTTCCCCTCAAGAGATAGAACCCGTGGCGTGGTGTTTCATCGGCCCTGCACATCTGGAAAAATGTCGAAATGCCAAGGAGGGATGGGCTAGGCCAGACTCAAGCAAGACAAAACAAATGGTTGGCTGATTGGAGACATTCCTGAGTCACTGGATGTGCTGCTGCTACAGCTTTTCCCCGCAGCTGTTTAGAGTGCCTGTGGTGGCGCAGGATTTTGAGAAAGTGCCTGGCTTCCTCATCACCTTACAGCCTTATGTGAGCCCAACTCGTTCCAAAGCGATTGCGAACTAAAGCTCCCAAATCCTCTGGGGCCAGCGACGTGAACTTGTCACTACCCAGAACTTTCCGCGGTTTGTGAAAGAAGCCTTGCACTTGCTTGCGCTGCCATCAGCCTCCCATAGGATGACGGGCCATGTGGGGCGCATCAGTGGCAGCCTGCCAAAGCAAAAGCCGTCGCCGCAAACCTATCAGGAGCCAGCTCGGGTGGACAGAGAAAGACAATCACATTCGGGCAGCATGGACCCCACAACTGTTGTCCACAACTTGGCCAGCAACCTCATCAGCAGGTTTGCACTTGCATCATTGTTTGCTTTGGGCCCTGCCTCGCATTCGCGTTTGCAGGATGTGATGAAAGCGAGCTTAGCAAATGCGATTTGCGCCGCCTGCCCGCAAAGATTGTGACGAGCAGTATTGTAGCACTGGCGGCCTGGGGTGAGACTTGCGCTGCTCATTGCTCGCCATGCTGCACTGCTGTGTCACTTCTCAGGTGCTGGCCTGGACGTCTCTTGGCTAAGATCAATCATTTGAACTTGCGCCCCCCTGCAAATTATACTTGCTCGGCCGGCTTGTATGCTTTCGGAAACACACTCCCTTCATGTTGATAACCTTTGATTACATATAGTATGATGCTAGACTATATTCTACCATATTATGTTATACTATCATATTATATTATATGATATCATACATGAACTTATTATATGCACATATCCGTTTCAAAAGCTGATTGACTTTTTACTGGTGTTTACTTCCTTGGATGTGTGATTGTTTTGTGGATGGGCAGTTTCCAGCTTGACAGACTCATCAGACAGCAATCCTTGGCATCATTCAAAACCCATCCAGGCCAACAGCTGCATGCACATCTTGGCAGGAGTGCAAGTGTTTCGCAGTTCGAATTGATTCCTTTTGAACATGCCTCAGGGCGCCTCTCTTCATGCTGCCATGCAGCATTGTGCTCATCACGCGGAGCTGCGGTTTCTGGGGCATCGCTGGCGGGATGGCTATCATGGCCATACTGCTTCTCGGCTTCGCAGGAGCGTCCTTTGGGGATGCGCGAAGGCTGGCTGTGATCTCACTTAACGCGAACGTCCGAGCGAAATTGCAGCATTTGGTCATGATATGTCCATTTGTACATTGCTTGTTCTGGGTCCAGACCCAGTTGCTTCAACGATCTGATTGTACAATCTTGCTGTCTGGGCACAAACAGCCATCCTAGCCTTGCAACAAACAAACTTGGGAATAGAACAAGTCCTGAATGTGCTTGTTGCATGTGACTGCCCAGCTGCACAACCTTCAGCCAACTCGTTCATATCTTTGGCGGCCTCTGTCTGACCATCGCCGCAAGGCCTGTCGGACAGGTACTCATATTGCTCATCTTTGTGTGGAGAACCTGTTGAATCCTGGGACAGTATCACTTGGAATGGCTTTCCATTTGATGGCATGTGATTACTCCCTCACAATTTGTGTGATGTTTGCTACGATCATTTTCCTGAGGGCTTGGCCCGAGGCTCGGCGGCCCTATGCACTTTGCTTTCCGCGGCGTCTGCTTCTTGCCCCTCGCCATCCTCGCCTTGCGCAGTGACGCCCAGGCGCCGGGCATGGCTGTTCTGGGAAGGATGGAATGCTCAGCAGCCTTGATGTGGAATTCCCAAAATGGTGGACATAATTTAGCCCCTAAGTGGTGTCCGTCAGAGGGTTGCCAATCAACATTGATACCCATGCAGGAGCCTTATTTTCGACCATGACATAGTTGACATCGCAGCTTGTCTTGTTGTTGCTTCTGTTGAGTATAGTTGGGTCAAGTTTATCGAACATGGGGCAATCCATCAATCAGAGCTACAGAGGCTAATTTGCGTTTCATTGACAAGGGCCTAATTAGCACTGACATACACTTGAAAATTGATTGTGTGTGAGTTTGATTGTGAGGTGCTTTGGATATGTGCAAGTGTTCAGTCGTTCTGGTTGTCAGGCATTGCAGAGTTCCAGGGCAATTTGTCTTGCGGAACCTCCAATGGTGTGAAGATGGTTGCACATTGGTGCCACTTCGATTTCGGCAGATCCGAAGTCTTCTGTACTTGATCTAATCCAGATCTCATAGCTTTGCTTCTGCTGGTTTTTCCAGAGAAGTTGGAGAGCCATGCAAAGTCTTGTAGGGCTTCGACTCTTGAGACCCACGGAGGCCATGTTTGGTGCTGTGTGGCTCTTGGCGATGCTCTTTTCGATCACCGAGCTGCCGGGGCTACGAAAGCAGTGGCGGCCCAGCCCTGGCTTCTTCAACTTTATCACACGGACGCTGGCATCCTGGCAGATCAACCCGAGAGACCCATGAAAGACTCATCTCATGGGATTGTTGGTTTGGAGAAAGGGCGATATCTGGCCACCAGTCTTCTCGTATTTGGCCCAATGTCATGCAACGGGAAAGAACGGCACAGGGAACAGCAATGCTTTGGACGGATCCAAAGAGGCTGACATTACTTCCATAGGCTTTAAGGTAATCTGCGTGACATGTGACTTTTTATGTTTTGGGACGGGTATGTGGTATCAGATATCGCTTCTCGTCCAGTGAATGCACGGCCTCCGCCTGGCAGGCTTGTACAACCTTATGCAGGGAGTGGTTCATTTGCATGTGGGGCAACCTCAACATCACATGTGATATTTAAATGCTGATCCACTTCCCAAGTAGCTGTGTTTGAGGCAATTTTGCTGCGCGACACAGCTTCATTCGTCGCAATTGTTTTCAACAGCGTTTGCCTCAACTGAGGAAGGTCGAAAGTACTACAAAGCGGCCGAGTTGAGGCGTGCTTGCCATGTGGCTGGCTTACTTGTGGGTGGTTTGCATGCCATGCAAGCAGTACTAGCAACTTTGCAAGACGATTGGCCATTGACCAAAGAGGCGCACCTGGGAGCAAGAAACCCGGGCGTTTGTGGCGCGTAATGAAGTCAATGAAGTCAACCATGGATGGCATCGCTCTGCTTGCCAGGGGTGCTCTGGACGAGATCAAGCCCGGCAAGAACCTCTTTGTGCCATGTCTGATGAGTGCAATGAGTGAAATGAATCATGCTGAATACCCTCCATGTCTTTCAAATAATAGGGAACTGAGTTGGGATAAGAGAGAGAGAGGCTGTGATTCCGGGCATCATGGCTGGAATTTCCGCGGAAGAACATCACTTCACCAGGGAACGAGTTGAACATATTTGAGAGCCCTGACCGCTGTCGCGCATTGGCAAGGCTGTTCATCCACACGGTATTCTGACTGGTGGCTGGACCTGGAACATGTCGTGGCCTTATCTTGGACGAGCTTCACATGCAATTGCAAGGGAGAGCAATTGTTGCCCACACCACTCAATGTTGAACACATGACTTAGAAACTCTCCCTATGCACAGCAACCAATTGTTTTCAATGTTTTAGCAATCTGTATGAGTGCGTCACCCAAGCACGTGCTTGATAGAGACACTAGATCGCACAAACATAATCTTGGTCAGTTCTTGAGGAAGTTAATATCATGTGTAACCGCTTTGTCACTAGAATGGCATGTCAGAAGTGGGCCAGCAGCTCCTTTGCATTGCCAGAAGCACCCTCACCTGCACGAGTGAGGTTCTTCAACTCGGACTTCCATGAACGCTGCAAGCTCAGCTTTGCTGAATGCACCAAGTGTCTTTTGGTCACGGTAGCTTCAGTGTTTGACTGCTGTCCCATAGCTGTTGGATGAGTGGAGGAGCAGTGTGCTACGGAGCTGAGAGAATTTTGGAGGCTGTGAGCAGAGACAAGAAGTGATCACACAACTTGGGGCCCCACACAGGACTTGCAGGTTCTGCCCTACTGAGCCCACAGATTATAGGTTTTGCCCTTGCCGCAAGGCCGAATGGCTCTGACCATGAAACAACAGACTCATGTTGGGCAATTGCAGTGTCCACAAAACGTTTAATGCAAGCAAGGGTGAGTTAACAGATGTGGACCGGCAACATAGTCTGTAGCCCAGGCACCGGCCGAATCGGCTTCTTGCTGGACGAGGGTCTCCGCCTCAAGGCCCCCACTTTCCGCCTCCTCTGTGACTGGTTCGAGGGCAAAGACCGCTATGCCGCACCGGCACCGTGGCGGAATAACTCCGAGGCCTTGGGTTCCATTTGACGCCACTCTGCTGTTTCTGCGAGGCTTGTGCAGACCCGGCAACAGCTTCACATGTTTATGTTTTCGTGTGTAAGGTGCTTGGCACGTCAGAGTACAGACGAACATGAGACAGCATTTGTTCTGGTGACCTGGTATGGTATGTGCTTTGATGTGGTTGCTTCACTTGAAATTAATATCAAGGGTGCGGCATCAAGTGTATTTGTCGTCCCTGGTCATGATATGCGTCCATTCGCCAAGGATCCAGCTCACAAGGCCACGCAGGTTTTCCAAACACGGGCCGAACTGGAGAACCGACTATTCTCGCAAAGCAGCTCGCGGCATCTCGCGGCATCTCGCTGTTTGTCAGAGGCGCTGTCCTGGATCAGAGGCCCCAGAGGCCCCAGAGGCCCCAG